CAAGGTTGGGGGATATTGCTTCAGGCCCGTGATTATCCCCGGGATCAAGACGCTCATCCCTGTTGCTATCGCCAAAGGAATGTACCCTTAAGAAACAATTCTTGGGAAATAACTTTTTCCGTTTTTTTTTCTCTCTCCAAAAATCGGAAGTATTTGAATGCGAGTCGTCACCTAGTTTTTTATCATTCGTGTAAGACAACGGAATCAGCAGAGCCGAAGAAAGGAGGAAGAAATGCATCTCACAGGCATTGTACCACGTGTGATCCAGACACTAAAATGGACGGATTCGAATGAGATCAAATACTCGTCAAAGTCACCCAAAACATGCTATGAACACCTGCGATTCAATATTGTGTGGCATAAATGACAAGATTCACATAAATCAGGAACTTTTTAATAGAGAACGTCTGACGACATTTTCTCGGAATTCCTTGAAGAAAGCTTGAGTGAAAAATCTAAAACATTATTCATAAAATTTGAAAAGTATTTTGAAATTTCTCGAAGGATTTCGGAAATGTACGAGTATGAACATTTTCTGCGAACCAAAAGTCGACATGCAATATCTTTAAACTGTGATACAATGTGAAGGGTTTGCTTTCTCCTTATTGAAAAGAACTTTTCATTCGAGTTATTTCTACTATGAATTAAGCTTCAGTTCCATTATACAGTTGATATTTTGGTATGGACACAACGGTTACTCAAATATAAAAGAGAAAGCATCAGAAAAAGTTGTCCCTGGCTTTCTTGCGAGCTTTCTCACAGGGTTCCTCGTTTACTCATTTCATTTTTTGAGTAAAGCTCAACCGGTTCCCTCGTGCAGCAGCATTAAAAGAAATACTTCTTCGTGAAAAATGATTCTAATGAAAGAGGTACAGTATCTCCTGGAAATTGAAACTCTTGCCAGAAATCACCTGACAACTTATTTTTACGGATAATCTTTTCCGAATGGTTGAAGAACATGGTCACACCAATGCATCCAGAACAAAAATTCGCAGAATTCGAAAAATAATTTTACGTTGTTTTTCATAAACTGAAGTTGTCAAGATTATATCTTAGTTAAAACTTCAGAGTAACATTGGATGTAGTTTTTTATGCGTCCATTCTTCGCATTTCGTTTACTGAGGAAAAAGTAAAAGAGGGGTAAAGAGGCCATTTACGGGTGTATCCGTGTGTACGTAGTTGTTGATGAAAAGTATGTTGGTCCACCAATATTTCCGGCAATGCAAGGTAACATTTTCCTTGATCATGGCTTTCCAGAACGGCCCTCTGCCCAAACGCTGATATACTGTTCCTGCGAAAGCCACGCACATGGCCAAAGGAGCCAATAGCCTAAAAAGAAAATTGCATTGACTTATAACCAAGGAAATTTCCCGAGAAAAATACGCACGCACCTGATTAACCGATAAAGAGTTATTTTTGAAATCATCACGAGATCTTGACCCAAGGTTACGTTCCTCGATGCTGTCAACTTCGTGAGTAAATTGAAAGACAACAGAGTTCCTCCGATGACAAAAAAGGTGTCTGCTGCCACAGATCCATTTGCAATTATGTCGATCATGACATTCTCTAGACTCTGAAAAAATTCGTTCCGTATTCTATGACATTTGTTTGCAAATTTGCTCTCAATACCTTGTTCAAGTCAGAGCTATTGATCCAAGGCTGATACAATACGAATTCGTAGGTTCGTACCAAGATTATCCACATCGTCGTGAAAAATCTGCGGAGAATTTTCCATGTGAATCAGGAGAAATTTCATCACAATACCACATGCATCGCTGCTTTCAACAATTACTTTATTCCACCAATGCAGGCTATGAACATAGTGGGATTGCGTGCTTCTGTGGGATGGAAAAGGTTTTGCCCGTTGGTATACAGCGAGAATAATGCGAAGAAATCCTCGAGACTACCTGGAAATTATTAGGGCGATGAATTAGGATTTGAATTTCACGTTAGCGCATGACTGACTCGTTTTAACGTCTACTTGAACTCCTTGCTTCCGCTCAGCATTTTCTTGAAGATTTAGCGTTGGATCGGCTTTGTCTTTGATGGCCACGTACTTGTGTAGATCGTAGCTGGTGCCGATTATAACGCAACCTACAACTGATATCATGATGCATCTGTTGAAAAGGTTTGAAAGAAGAGTCAAGTTCAAGCGTCTGACTGGGGGAAAAAAAAGCAACCGAGCGTAAGTGAATAAATCCTCACAAAAATAAGTAATCGTGTGGGGTTCTTTCATCATCGTCGTCCTCAGCCTGACATCCGTCTTCCTCCAATTCAATTTCCCACGATCCAGGTGGATTTTCCATAGAAATCTCCAGACCACACTACATCATCGTCCAATCAGATAGCTTCATTTAATTTTTTTTTTATAAATTGCATGTAATAATTTACCTTGATTTGGTCCGCGTGACACGTTGCTGGGACACAAAGCCCGCGTGAAATCGGCAAACGAAGAGATCCTTTCTCATCCATGCTGAGGTTTATTTTCAAAAGTTTCTTGAACACCCTTAGAATGAGATCGAAATGGTCGCCTTTTCCAGGAGAAGACCTTACGTCGAGGCTGGAGCAGTTTTCGCACTGCGCTCCTATGTATCTATCGACGATTCGAATCCCGCAAAAAAAACTATACAGTACTGTAAAGGTCTTTTTCTTCGTTTTGAGCGATGATTCGCGAAAGAATTTTGATACGTCGCTCAAAAATTAAAACATTTGCAAGAATAACGGTCAGAAACATGCATAATTTTCCTTGAAGTTTGAAATTTCGTTTCATCTGTAGTACAATAGACCGTACATATTAGACTGAGTTGCGGCTTTCCGTCTCGTCATGTAATGTGAAGGACATGCATGCGGCATACGCTTGAGACTAATTATCGTTTTCATGGATTTTTTAAATCCTTCGAATTAATAAACAGTTGATTTTCGTTAAAAGTAAATTCAAAGATTCATTGACATTTTTAATGTCACATAAAACAATAATACTGCGGCCTTCGATCTTTAGATCAAGCAACATCAGTATACAGTAATCGAATAAATCCTTCACAGGAAAAATGAGCTTATTCATCCGACGCGTAATCCACACTTCACCAGGATTTTAAATCAGGCTCGTGCAGTTGCATACAACATAGGCCGCCAAATGAGAATTTAGTGCGGCCTTTTACTGGAATATGATTCCGAAAGCAGCACTGTGTGGTGTGACGGATACTCGAATACGTCTGATGGGATATAGGCCGCCCCCGAGTTTTTGGGGGTTTTTTCGGGGATGAAGTATAATCTATGATCGATTAACTAGGTTATGTGCGAGACCCAGCAGTCTACTATTTCTAAAAATAAAAGGGTTCTTACTTGAACTGAGCTCGGCAATAACGTCCCCGAATGGCGTTGTGCTCGACGCATGGCGAATTTCCACTCAACTTGACGCACTGGTCGAAATTTCCCAGTGGATATATGTTTCCGTGCAAAATACCGTCGGGAATTTTCCCACCAGCATCAAACACTATTTTTGGAGCCGGTTTAGTCAGCCGAGTTTCCTTTTTTTTCGCAAAACGAACCAGTCTTACTTTCAAGCGCCCACAGTGGCGGAGACTCGATGAATATTTCACAAAAGTAAGACACGCTTTGCCACCAACAGGGACTTCCGGGCGTACTGTACATCCCTGGAGCCAAGTACGCCACCAGAAGTTGAAAACTAGACAATTTTTCGCGCCAGCAGCTTCCATTGACGATTTCCGTGTCGTTGAACGACATGAGCTCGAATAATTCGTCCTTTACTTCCTGCACCTTGTCTCCTGTGATGATGCTGAGTGACTCGAAAGCACCGCCGCAAATTGTCTCCAGCGTGCCTTCGTCTGGATTTTCGTCGCATTTCAAAAACACACCTACGGCACCGCTCATCGAAATTAACACAGCAAACACGAAAGCGCACCGGACATTGCACATCTCTAACTGCTTCACAGCGTTTCCGGATTGAAAAGCTTTTTGAATCACATATATGGATAATTCTAATTTTTGTTTCTGATGCGTGCTAACATTGCAAGTCACTTAGACCTTCTGTGATGAAACCTTACGTGGGAAGAAATCGCTCGGGTGAGATAAGATAAACCATAAGGTATCTTGTCAAAACACTTTTTTCTCATATGCATGCGCTAGATTTTGGACAAATGAAAGCTTATACACTTCCTCGTTCTTGCATAAGATATGGTTAGATATGATTCATATGAATTGTCTCGCCTTTGGTGATTCAGTACATTCGAGCTGGATTCATCAAGGGCATTTTCCGGTTATTTATCATGAACTTGGACAACTTACGATTGATAATCTATATAATATAAGTTACGTTTACAAAACTTTCCGAATTCTTTCGGTGTACTAAAGTGACTAGCGTCATCTACCAGGTCTATAGTATATAACATCTTGAGAGGGAATCTTCTTCCATGGGCGGAGACGCCAGAAGGTCTGCAATGCAACAGTAAGATTCGTCATGCAAAATCTTTGCATTTTTCCTAAAAATCCCGGGGATCTGTGTCCGGAAGAAAAACGTCAAGATGAAGAAAGTACTGTACAGTATTTCAAAGTGCTTTGCTGGAGAAGAAAGCCGCGGAAGTTGGTGCACTGTTTTTCATCTCCTGATTTCGTATGAAAATTTTTAATGGAGCTTTGCTGCCATGTTTGACTTGTGCTGTAATTTATTTCCCGTGGTACTTTTTGTTTTCCTGATTTATTTTTACCGGTCATTTGACATGAGGCATTATTCGGAACGACTACTTCGTTCCACATATTTTCCTCATATCATTCCCTATATATACTGCTACGTATTCCGTTTCATCTCTGTGACTATGTCGTGTTTACTCTCATTGGAATTTTATTTCCTGGCTATCTTGTCTCGCCCGCGGCATTTCCTCCGCCGACATTTCCTTTTCCCTGGGATTTTTCTTCCCCTGCATTTTGGATGTTTCCCAGCGGATTAATGCATTTATTCCCGCCTCTCTTCAAGAGCAGGAAAGTTTAGCAAATTACAGAATTTATTTGTATTTCGAAATAATGCGCAATATTTACAGAGTTTTCGAACCGAAAAAAAAGATTGGCAGTGTGCGGGTGGAGCCCAACAAATCAGCATCAAGTCCGCGAGAAACTAAAACTGAACCAACAATCAAAATGCATGACGAGTTTCCTAGGCTAGGACAACGAGAAGTTCGTAAGCGTTCCGAGCATAGTGCGAATTTTTTTTGGATCTTTCCAAAAATACCCGCGGAGTTTCCAGCGTGCCGTTTTTTACTGTTGCGCCGGGGCAAATTTGCAAAAGGATGACACTAGTCGGGAGCGAATGTCCCGATTTCGTTTAATGGCCGCAAGCTGACACGGGTTGCTTCATCAGCGTCTCCGGTTCGGATTGTACGGCGGTGTGTGACCTGCCAGCATGCACGACCGGCAGCAGAATTTCTTGTAGTAATCGTGGTTGCAGTATCCTCCTCGGGTTATGAGGGCGCAATTCGCGAAGAACCCATTGTCCGTGCAATCGTCCGGAATGGCGAATTCTGCGAGTCCATATGGCACAAAAGTGTATTAGCATTTCATTGCGACGCAAAGGGAAAGAAAACGAGGGTTGCATGTTCACCTTGAATGGTGATGTCCACATCGGCGAATGCGGACTCGAACTGATTCTGAGCGGTGCACCGATAATTTCCAGAATCTGAGAACTCGGCTGTTGCGATGTGAAGTGTGTGATTGCCTTCGAATTGGAAATTGAATTTTAGTGTCTGAAAATACGTTTGACACCTAAAGTTAAAATGCATTTACTTTGTATGGATACCCGAGATGATTGTTCAATTGCTCTGCCATCCTTGGACCATCTGATTCTCGGCGATGGAGAACCACTGACTTCGCAAGGAAGGTCGATTTGTCCTCGGAAGGCGAACTTATTCCTTTGGGCGTTGATAGTCACTTGTAGGGACGCTACTGAATGAATAAATTTCAAATCGCTAAAAAAATGAGCCAGAGATTTCACGACGTGCCAGAATCAGTGCTATACCAGTGTATGCCAGCCTGCGATAACTTTTTAAAGATGATAAATGACAAAGCAAAGCTATGAGGCCAACCCAACTGCAAACTCCAGTTTTACAGGGCGTGCAAAACCATCGACAGTACAATACGTGTTATAATCACAGACCATATATCAAACGAGATTTTGATTTCTGGAACAGCCCAGAAACACAACTAACTTATCTTTACCGAAACCTTACACCGAACCAACCTAAACTTATCCTTACCTAAACCTAACATAAAAACAACCCAATCTAACATCTAAAAATTATTTCACAGCTGCTTTAGTGTAAGCTACGAACAATGCATGTGAAATTCACTATTGATGAACATTTTAAATTTTCGTCTATGACACAGAATTATAGCCTGAATTAATGCAATTCGTGTTGTCTTCAGCAAGGGACGGATGTAGAATGGTAAGGGGCAGAAGGGAAGAAGATGCAAAAGAACTGCTTTGACCAAATTTTAGTGGCATTAAGTGAAGGTTCCCTTCAGGCCTTCAATGATCATCCTTGTAAAAATAATAAGTATGGTAAGTGGAATTTTTTAATGTCTATATCACGTATGCTGAGCTATATTACACTGGTTTCTGTCAAGGACGGTCCCACTTTCGGTGATCAGTCATGCACTAGAGTAGCGCTCGAGAATCGTTTGGCGTCTTTTTTTGCTGCTGAATGGGTTTCTCGATTCTGCAGAAAAAAATCCCACGTAACCCATTGACATACAGAACGAACGAAAACCCTCGACCTTTAAGGGTTTGTTTTGTATAGATTAACGAGGGAGATTATTATGGAACCAGAGTCCCTCGCCAGCACAATTGCAGTCAACCTCTCAAGGCAGACGCAAGAAAATGGATCACCGGAGTGCAGAAGCTTCCGTTCGCTCGTGGGACCGGAAAAGGTTTGTTTTTCATGATTTCGTACCTGTTTGAGGTGGCACGGTTTGAATGGGTGGCCTCGAGGGAATGCCGACTGGGGGCCTGGTTCGTGATTCGGTTCCCGGTGGGTCCACGATGTATTGCAAGAAACCCGAATCGGTGGATTCCGCGCTGAAAATCGGGCCGAAAGCCTTTAAGGTTACAGACCAACTCGCTGCTGTTCCTTGTCCGTTATAGGCTTGACACGTGTACGGCCCCAAATCTTTAAGCGTCACCCTGTCAATCCTCAAGCTGCCTTCGGAGTCCTGCGTGTATTTCTTCGTGCCGAATGGTAGCATGGTTGACTGCTGCCACCAGAAGACCGTTGGGTCAGGGTAGCCAATGACGAGACAATACAATACGATTGATTCACCAATGGTAGCGATCGGCTCTGCGTCCGCACCACTGGAGACAATTTTGGGAGGCGTGTCCTCCCCAGCTGATGGATTATCACCGGTTAAAAATATAAATAAAAACCTAACACGTTTTTCTTGGCTTACGCAAGACACGTAGCTCCAGGGTTGTCTGATGGGGTGCTCCTGAATCGTCGCGGTACTGACAGAAATAAAATCCGGCGTCATTGCTTTTCACTCCAGCGACTTGCAGTGATCCATCCTTCAGGACTTGACGACGTCCAGATGAAGATCGCATCTGAAAATTCGTAAAAGAAAGAATCCGGGTATATTTCCGTTAAGAAGTACAGCAATGAAATCCTTTCACAAGTTTGTGGTGCCATGCATCTCACTGTCGTGTTCCCGTGGATCCAGAAAGCTTGGTCTTGCGGGGGCGGTGGTGAATCGCAAGGTAGCTTCGTGAGACTTCCTTGTCTTGCTTCAATCACCGTGTGAGCCTCTTGAGAAATGGGAGATTCTATGATCAAAAATGTCTTGTTAGGAATGAGCCAATAAGCATTTTTTTTTAAACTGGATAATTTTACCAGTGGGTTCATATCGGGCTCGAGTCGGGAAAGTATCATAAATCGGCTCTGTTCGGTAATATTCCGTGGTAGATGATACAGGTGCCACTGTAGTTACTTCTGGAGTTGTTTGAATTGTAGGAGTCTCTCTCTGGCAACTCTGCAAGCATGTGGCTTCTGAGTCAAACCTGTTCTTGTTCCCTTGGCAGCCGCCATAATCGAATTCAAAGCAACGATCTCTTGCCGGTTCATAATGCCATTGTTTGAATTTTCCGCTGCAAGGGCCCACGACCTTCGGCAATGAGCATGGGTCTGGGAAATAAAATATAAGTTGAGCATGCAACTTGAATTGAATCTTGATTTTATTTTTAATAAATGATTCGAACTTTGCACATCGCCGCACTTGCGTTCGCATTCCGGTCGATTCGCGAAACGGTTGTGGTTCCCGTTGCACCCGCCGTACAAAAATTGTTTGCAGACCCCATCATTTTTGTCATAGAACCAATTGGGTTCATTTTTATTGCAGGTTCCAGAATCCATGTCCAACGTGCAATATTCTGATGATATTGTATTCAAACTATGATCATTAGCGAGATTATTCAGAGATTTCGAGTCAATCTTTTTTCTAACCAATTCGGAACTCATCCTCGATCTGGACAGGTTTCGGAGCTGGCTCGCATCTACCCCGGCAATCTTCGTACCTCTGGAAATTGTTTCGATTGCCTCCGCATCCACCATACGTGAATTTCGTACATTTTTGCGTGAACAAATCGTAGTACCACCGTTCTTGATATGAGGTGCAGTCTCCGACATCAGAGGGCAAGCTGCAAATATCCTCTTCCACTGCAAAATGCCAAGATGAATTAAATTCGAAATTATTATTTCAATTCACGACAAACACGTGAAACGCACTGGTGATGCTGGCGCATTGAGCGTTACAAGCTTCCTCTGTGATGAATTTGTTGGCATTTCCACCACATCCCGAGTACTGGAACTGAAGACATCTTCTCTCAGTACCGTCAAAATAAAAGCGCTGTAAACTGTCCGCACAGGTTCCGACTTTCCGTGGTTGTAAGCAGATTTCTAGAAAGTATCCGAATATGAGTCACAGATGTCACAAAATTCAAGAACTTTCCGGAGTGATTCACGCCATCCTTCAGATCGTTCATAAACTGTGAGTTCTGAACGCATGAATGAGAAATTCATGCTGAAGAAAGGTGGGACAGTGAGAAAGAAGAGCGAAAATCCTGTCAAGCATCGTCTCATGAAAGCGTTTCGCGTGTGGACCAGCTGGAAAACGGTTTTTGAAGCATTTTCAGGGGAAATTCCAGCTAGATTCCTTCTCGCACTATTGATCAATAGAATTTTTCTCCTGAGGGCAGAACAAATTTTTCCCTCTTTCCCTAAATTTCGACTATTAATCCTCAATGCAAGTCAGGAATTGTCAGGATGCGACTAATTTCCACACGTTTTGGATGCACCAACTACATGATTTCCATTGCGAAGAAAAAAAGTTTTCCGACTATATTGACGCCAAAATTTGCATTAAGGTTGCTTGGATGATTCACCAACTTGTTCAAACATAAACCTCAATAATTTCGAAATGCGACTGAAAAAATAAAGTTTTTGTCTGTGCATAGATTGGTGAATCACCCTGCACTTGCTGTGCTAATTAAGTTTTTTTTTTTACCTCTTTGCCTGTCTTTTCCGCGACAACGCAACTGGCATTCCATTTCCGACAAAAAGTTGTTCTGGTTGCCTTTGCAGCCTCCATATGTAAATGGTTTGCATTGTCCGTCGCTTTGGTCGTAGAAGTAGCGAGAATAGTTCCCGCTGCAAGGGCCTTCCATTTTTATCTGGAAACAAGGAGCTGGAAACAAAAACCAAATTAATTTGACCATCAGCACAGGTTGATTAACTTTTTTTTCAGCAAATCACCGAGGCGCTCCTGCTTGTGGCATTGACGCTGGCATTCTTCTCTGGATTTGAAACGGTTGTTGTTGCCAAGGCAACCTCCGTAATAAAATTCTCGACACTGTTCTTCTTCCCGGTCGTAGTACCACATGACTTCATATTGCTCACATGGACCCCCGACCTTGGGTAAGTAGCAAGATTCTATAAAAGATGCACAAAAGATCCAGGTGTCATAATCCGATCGCTTTCACGAAGAAGGCAGGATTACCAGTTCCTTCGGTTTCCATGCAGACTGCAGTACACTCTTCCTGCGTGTCGAACCGATTATCGTTCCCAGCACACCCTCCATACCAGAACCTTGAGCAACCACCGTAGGACATGTCAAAAAAGAACTTGGTGGTGTAATTCCTGCAATCCCCGTGATCAGAGCGTAAGCCGCAGACCTCTGCCAGAAAAAAAAAATTGGATCATGGAAATTGAATTATACTGTGAGCAACGATCGAGTGACTAGACGTGCCTCCGGCTTTGATGGACTTCGGTATCTCTCCACAGCCTTCGAAGTTCAGTCCCTGAGCCTCCTTGGTGCCGTCGGGGCAGCAGCCATACAGGGAAGCTTCGCAACTGCAGCCTTCGTATTCAAGACCGGAGGCCTGGGTACGCCCGTCTTGGCAGCAACCGAACTCGGACTCCTCACAAGCACAACCTTATCCAAAGAAAACGAAACATTTTCTCGAAATAAGAGCAAATGGGTTTCAACTGAACTCCAGCATAGTTTGAATGGAAATCTGTCTCTTTTTTAAAGTCCAGGGTTATTTTATTTTTTTTGACTGCGAGCCGCCAGAGAATATATTTTTAGAATGCGCGTAAAAAGTTGCGTTGAACGTTCAAAAACGAACATTCTTATGTTTTGAAAATGTTTTCAGAATTTTATCCTCGAAAAATTCCTTATGGCCTGGTAGGTTCAAAAAGAGGAGTGAAGATCTGAACCTATAACTGTCAGTCAATCGAAGAACCACAGCGTAATGCATGCTTAAAATTTCGAAAACGAAATCTACATCTGGCGTAGAAGTCCTCCATGTTCACTTTTTGCAGTACAATATTTATGCTCATTTTCTGTTTATGCAGTTGTATTTTGTTATAATGAATCATAATTGCGACATTTTTAATCCTTTTTATTTCATTCCAATTTAATGAGAAAAAACACAATTACTGCTTTTGCGAAAACCACATAGCAATTGAGGATGACATTCTTTTCGAATTATCAACCAAGGGCTTTTTGAAACCTTTGAAGAGCTCGGGAAAGTGATGAATTCTTTGCCTGCCCAGAAAGTTTATTTGAGGAAACATTCAAAACCATTTGCTGTACTGCTGGAAGTATTGAAGATGCATCAAAGAGTTACAAGCCGGGAAATATTTTTTTGAATTACCGATTGTTGTATACGCATTGTAGATGTGGATCTAATTATGAAAATCATTGCTCGGAATATATGCATCTCTGATTTTAAGGAAACATGGCTCTATAGCAGCTTCCATTTTAATAAGATTTTTTCATTCTTAATGCAAAAAATGTCAAGCCTGTTCAATTGGTTATACTGAACCAATATTTTACGGCATGATGGACGCTGAAAAAGTGCGCTCGATAACCCCACAAGTTTTATTTTTAGATAAGCGTCATTCGTGAAAAAGGTAGTGTACTGACATTTTGATGAAAGAGAGCTACGTACAGGTATTATGATAATAGTGAACGTTACCTTCTAGATTTGGCCCTTGTGCCACGGTTATTTTGTCAGGGCAGCAACCGAACTCAAACGTGTAACACGGACAGCCTGTGTAATTCGCTCCAGGAGATGGAGTGAAATCGTCAGCGCAACATCCATGCTCAGTATATTCGCATCCACATCCACCGAAGTTTTGCCCTCTGGCTTCTGTTTTACCGTCAGGACAGCAACCGAATTCCGTCTGCTCGCATACGCAAACTGCTTTCGAAAAAGGAATGATCTCATTGCACGAATAAAATTAAAAGTTTCTCGTTTTTTTGCAACGTGCCAGTGTCATTCCGCTTGCAACATTCTGGGTCCGCCGGTGTGCAAGCTGCGGTTAGATTGCAACCTGCCATCTTGGGGCCCACGGCAAACTCGATTCCGTCCGCACAACAGCCAAAGGGCGACTCAGTGCAAACTTCGTACTCGGAAGGATCGAATCGAGGACAACCCTTGTCTTCCGGGCCAGCAGCAGCAGTCTTATTGTCCCAACAGCAGCCGAACCTAGCGTTCAATGAACCCACCAGGAAAAAGCAAGCGTCATTCGACGGTATTTTCTCTAGAAGCCAATCAGGTTCTTTTCAATTACCGTAAATCTAAGTATCACTGTTGTTTCGGCAACTCGCATTGCCGCGAGCATTTCTTTTGTTGTTTTTTCCCCGGGAAATCAAAAGGGTTACAGTTTTCTCTTGCCTTGCCTTAATATCTTCACGTCATGGGAGACTTTATCACTAGTTTAACTTCGGGATGACGTCATTGTTGGCATGATATATAAAATATTCACGAAGAAGGCGCATAATCCGAGGGAAATCTCTTCATCTTAAGATCTTTGTATTACAGGAGATTCAGGTAATTTTTTTCAGGATTGTCTGGAATCCGACAGCAATTCACTAAACTTGTTCTGTAAATAAGATGACAATTTTCTGGGATTTGTGATTGGAAAGAAAAGGATGACTATTTTTTTAAGCATTACCAAATCTGATCTGACCAGTTGATAAAATGAGAATTATTTCTCATTCCTGAAATGTCTCCGACTTCGCGACTATATGCTGAACATAAACTTCGTTGAACATAGAATATAACATTATAAATGAAAACTACTGTACTTGGGGTAATTACACTGACTGGGATGACTGAGAAAACTGAAGTTAAAATTTGTGGTAGAAAATTATTCCTAAAAATGAGTTTCCGATGTACTGGAGAAATGAAAACACAGCATGCTCTTTCTTGTCGAAGTTTAAACGATTGATTCTTTTCGAAAGGGATGAAACCTGGAGAGAGCTATAAGACTCGTTGAAAAAAAATCTTGATTTGCATTATAATATTTGATTTCGCAGATATACTTTGCTCAGACGTTGAACTTGGAAAACCGCCGAGGTTCCCTGCAAATCAAAGCAGCTCACTTTGTTTTGGCGCAAAGCGGAAGATCGCAGCCTTTGAAATTGTTTCCTTCGGCTGCTCGATTCCCATCTTCACAGCAACCATAAATCGTGTCATTGCAATTCACCGTAGGACAGCCTTCGAAACTGATCCCCTTGGCAGCGGTGGCGAAATCGAGACAACATCCGAATTTTGTGTCATTACAGGTTTTAGTCAAGGGGCATCCTGTAAAATAGTTTGAGGACATCTTCAGCCTTCATCATCGGGTCTCAGTGAAATACAATTCTCATCTATATGAGATATTAAATGGTTATGCTCCCTCCAATTGTTCCTCCCTTTATTGGCGCAGTACAATATCTTGAAATAAAAAAAGTATATCAGTTGAAACGTTCAAATCAGAAGCTTGTCTAACCATTCTGTGATTATCTAATATTGAAATAGTTTTTCCCCAGCCCAATCTTAATACCAGAGATTTTTTCATTTCATTCCTTTAAATCGGTCATTATTACATGCCTTTCCATCACGTACAGGTGAATTTAGAAGCTTAAATGTGTAAAAACGTGCCTTAAGAACCCAACAAAGTTTGATCATGCCAATATTTGCACCTACCAATATTTGCACGTAGTGCTGGAGGTTCAGAAGAGATAACTTCAAGTTTTAAGAAAAGAGTGCCAAATCCAGTGAGCCGAGAAAGGGTCAAATCGGAAAAGTTCAAAAAACTTGAAATAAAGATTCAAATTCGGGAATACATTTTTCACGATGCATACCGTACATGTTTTTTGAATAGGAAATTTAAAATCGGAATCCGCGATAAATTTATCGCGTGAATACTTTAAGACACGTACTTGAATTAAGGTCTTTTCTTAAACGGTCCTCACATTTGACTGATAATGATTATTTTACTTAGATAGTTAGACTTTCATAATCGAAGAAAGAGGCTTTCTGGGCGAAAATCAGTCTCGGACAATTTAAAATTGGAGGATTGGGGGTGGAGGTACCTTCGTCAAATGGTCCAAGTGCAATCGTGAAGCCATCGACGCAGCAGCCATACTTCCCTTTGGAGCAATCTGACAATTTTGGTCGTTTACCACATTTCTTATTCTTCAGTGGCTTTTTGGGCTTCATCGGTTTTGTTTCTTTTCTGGGAAGAAGCTCTCCACTTCCACTGCCAAGGTCATCGAATCCAGATCCCGATCCGTCGCCTTCAAACAGGTCTGTTTCCGCAGATAGTTTGGAAATTTCCGGCGCTGAACTTCCTGATCCGCTCCCTGGTTCTCCCTTGTCCGTCGTGGTCGCTTCTGTGGGTGTTGGCTTTTCGGGCGCTTCCATCGGCGGCTTGGTGTCGATGGATTCTCCTGATCCTGATCCCTCGTCGGCGGGGGTGATTGTCATTTCCTTTTCTCCCGAAGCAGTTTCCGCGGAACCCTCTGGTTCTTTCACACTCGGCGGGGACTCCAAGCCTGAGCCTGATCCCTCCTGAAGCATCTCAAGTCCATCATCTCCACTTCCCAGCAGCCCCGATCCATCGCCAGATCCAGATGCTTCCCCAGTCGCTGATCGTTTTCTTCGTTCGGCTATTGTTTCGAACTCATCTGCATAGGTTGAGAGTATGCAACGATTTTCTATTAAAATTTGGTTAATTTATAGTAGCCTGCGACTATGAACTCATACTACAAGCTTTCACTTATTAATGCACTGTAAGACCCAATTTTTTTTGAAAATCCATAAAAAAGCCAGAATGCTTCTAAAAAAGATGCCTTTAATCCGAGTCCACACTAGGTGGAAAGTATTGTATTCCATTGAGTTACAGAAGCGCCTCACTGCATTATATTCTTTCAGTAGGGGCGATTTTGGGTACCAAAGGGAGAGAAAAAAGTGCAGGGGCCATAAAAATATGCTTAGGAGGGAAATGGAGCCCTTTTCCGCGGGAAAGAGATGTATCAGATGTATATACGCATAATGTTCTATAAGCATATTATAGGGGACAATATTTCCAGGGAAGATTGAAACTGCTCTACATTTATTCAAGGCAGAAAGCTTTAATGTTGACGATACTGAATAAAAAAATTGTAGGGGATTATCCCATAAATGTTCCTTCCACAATGTTCTGGGGAGAACTAATCATCTGAATTCATAAAAATGCATCAACTTTAATTTGCATTTTTGTGGCATGTAAATGCGTCGACTTCAGCTTTAAAATTAATTTTTAAAGCTACCGAATAACTCTTTTCTTATATTGCATTTATAATCAAGACTGAAGAGACGGCAGCATCATGACCTGATCCAGAGTAGCTCGACCATATATAAGTTCCCTTTTGGTCTGGGTATCAAATGAGCTGAAATATTCAGCCTGCGCAAATGCAAGGAAGTCTAAACTTCAATGTCTGCTATCAGCATCAAACAACAGTTTTTCTGCAAAAAGTGTAACTTATCGTGAAATAAAATGTTTTTGCTATGATGAGCTTTCCAAAAGGGCTCAAAGTATTGTGTATGGAATAATTATGTTAAAACTATTGATCTTCTGTAAAGATTCTTTCAGATAGAGATCGATTTGAAATGATTTTCGTGTGTGACCTGTGGAAAAGCAAGGCATTTCGAAAGGAGAAAAATTTTTCGGAGATGTAAATAAAGCGATAGAGCGTAATCTAGGAAATGCGGTACAGCATCACTTATCGTACTGGTGAAGCCTGAACCGGATCCTTCGAATATAATTCCTGAACCAGCTCCACTTCCTTCCGTCTTTTCTTCCACTCCAGAACCAACTTCCGTTGCAGCCGGCGTGTTCAGAGATTCTCCAGAGCCCGATCCTTCAGCGAGCGGCGCTTCTGAAGGGGTTACTTCCGTTTCTTTTTCGTCCGTTGTCTTGGCTGTCGGTGGAGTGTCGGAAGTAGTACCGCTTTCTGCTTCCGTTTCGTTTATCCCAGAACCGCGTTCCTTTTCTTGAACCCCTGATCCTTGCTCTTCAGTCATTTCCTTTTCCCCGGAACCTCCCAGCATGGTTGGTGGTAATGCAGAACCACTTCCTTCCTCGATGACGATTGCATCTTCATCGGTGACGGGGATTAGGCCGTCGCCGGATCCGTCTGGTTCCAAGCCGGATCCCTCCTCCAATGGACATTCTTCGTCTTCGTAAACGTAGTCATATTCGAACTCTTCCTCGCCGTCCACCAGGTCTGGCATGGCATCCGGGTCTAAATGCCAAAGAATACGTTTCAGTTTTTCTGGCACAAAAAAATGCCGAGGAAAATGTTTCCAAAAGTTTCCTCCGAGAGCATAGCCGTTAAACATGGGTCAGCACTAGAAAGATTTTTTTGTAATCAAAAAAATATATTTGGCAGCACTTGGAACAATGTCCATACATATTTTTGGGTACTAATACCGTTCATTTTTCAAGGTGTGTCAGTGTTCAACTACCACCTGATCACTTTGACATCTAGCCAAATGCACATAAAAGCCTTCAAATCATTTTAAGTTGTTATATCCAATGATTTCTGTCCTCTATTGCTTTTACTGATTGATTGATGAACAAACAAACTTTATTTTCCACTTTTTGGCGTTCACAAGGTTCAAACAGTGTTCCCAACTGTAAGTTACGAACAAATAGAGGAGTCCATGTTCAAACTACAGTTGGACCCTGAACCACCCTATAAATAGGTTAAAAATTTTCCTTGGGCAAACATTTTGTTCAGTCCATCTCCGAACTGGCGTAAGAACAATTTCAAATATTCCTCCCTTACTCAGAGTCTTAACACATTTTACCTTCGATCCTTTAATTGTTTTACTGTTTTTTTATTACTGGTTTCCCTAAATCAAAAACTTCTTAAACCATTGAAAGTTTTGCTGGTCCCTTGAGTTTGACTTGAGGAGGATTCACTGCATGAAAGCTGAAAACTTTCTAATGCGATATTCTAATGCAGTATTCCTACATGCAAACAATTTAACGAGTATATCGCCGGTTGAAAAAGCTTTGATTTGAGCATTTAAAAATGTGTGTTTCTATGGGTAAATCTTATCTCATGACTTTGATCGGGCGCACTTTCAACTCTCTATTTCATCTGACTTCAGTTTGCATGCAACAGAATTGAGACAAATGTAAGGATGAAATATAATGTAAGCCTTAAAAATGCATGAAGACGAATTATTCAACCCACAAGATTTAATTGCGTGAAGCAGAGACACGCGTTATTTACGAGCAACATATCGTACTCAATCAAATACTGTATGTCTACACTCATTTATTAAAAATGCAAGAGAAGTCCTCAATTGGTCTATAAGGGTAAATAATTACCTTCTCCGGGCTGACATTTCTGAGCATTGCATTCCTTGCTGGTTTCAGGGAAGCTTTCTTCCGGACATTTCTTGCTGACCTTATAGCCCTCGAAGCAAAATACTTTCCTGCGCTGCGAACCTCCGCCGCATGATTTGTCGCACTGGAAATGAGTTTGATACAAATCGGAAATGGTTTTCAGACGTTTTTCACTAAGGCTCAGGCGCATGCAATAATACAACGGTCTAGAGATATTTCCGTCGACCTGACGTTTATTATTTCATCGTCTGCTTTGAAGCATCTGGGAAAATTACCTCGGACCACTGGCCGACCATCCACTTTGCCGTGCAATCTGAATATGAAGTGCAGTTTCTATGGGTTGATGGACGGTCTCCAAAACATTTACTTTCTTCAACCCTCTCAACCTGATTGCTTTTTGAGTCCCACTGTCCACAGAAAACATCTCGACTCTGGGTACCGGTTCCACAATTCGTGGAGCACTGAAAAATGCAGCCAAATCAAGAAGAGCATCTCAGGCAACCGATGGAAAGAAATTCACCCACATTTGTCCACTGGGACATGTACCAGAGATTCACGCAAGGGTTGATAACTTCACACGGTTTCGAGTCATTTGGTTTTCGATCTTGAGAGCAAAACTTGTCCGCAACCTTCGAGCCGTCGAACGATACGCAGAAAACGTCTCTAGTTTCCACTTCTTGTCCACAAGTTTTCTCGCACTGGAAAAATTTAAAAAATTGTTCCCACTTTGCATCGATTGATTGCATAAAAAGTATTTACTCCGTTCCAATCGGCTTCAATCCAATCCACGCCCCCACACGGCGGACCGGAACAAGACTCGGTTTCCGCTGGTTTGTGCAGCTTATGGCACTCCAAATCATCCATTATTTCAACAGTTCCGTTTGAAATCTTCCTGCAAACAACGTCTCGTCTCCGTTTCCCATTGCCGCATAGTGCGTCGCACTGCGGAAAAAAAAAAAAAGAGGCCAAGGATTTGTCTCGTTTTCGCGAGATGGATGAAGTCGGTGTACTCACAGGAAGCCAGGGATTAGCGAAGAAATGCGGCTTGCTAGTATCCACGACGACGACGGGTTTTTCATCCTCCGACTCCGTAATGTTTTCGTGCTTCTGTGCCCCGTCGCACTTTTCCGTTAAAGCTGGCTTGGAACCCAGACTTTCAGCGCAAATTTCGTCCGGGACAAGTGATGGCAAGCCGTCGCGAATGACTTGCTGGCACACCACGGATCTGTATCTCCGCGGCGTGTCTTCGTCATTGGTGCAGTCACTCCATCGGGTAGGATACCAGCTGCATCGAGTGAAGGAGTAATTTATTCATGAACTCGCTGAAGTCGGGAAGTGTCGGGGAAATTCAAACCTTGGTGGGCAGGGATCTGTGTTGCAGGAAACGTTCAAATTCGGCTGCGCTTGTGGATTGCACAAGTGATCCGAAACTTCTTCGCTGGTCGGAACTTTTTGGCAGGTTGCTTTTCGTGTCTGATGACCTTGACGAGTATTATTCAAGCTCGATTGATTCAAAATGAACTTTTGAAAATCGACACATACGAGGGATGATGAATTATTATCAGCGTATATGCTTTGAATGAATAAATATGAGGGTAATTTTTGTTTTGAATTCGAAGCAAAATGAATCATTTACACTACAGTACTTCCTCATTCATGAAAACGTCAGAGCTGTTCAACAGCTGTCCTGCCAATGTTTAGATGATAAATTCAATTGATTCAAACACCTGCTGTTAGATCAAGTATTGAGCATGGGAAGATACCGTATTTATTTATTGGTGTACCACGAACACCTTTTTTCTCCAAATTGAGAGGAAAAGACTCATAAGTTCAAATGCGTGGTAAACTCGATTCTAATTGGAAATTTTGAGTTGGTTTTGTGCAGGAAACTATTTTCAATCGAATGTAGAAAAAATATTGAATTCAGGTTTAATGCATGTCTAAACTCGAAGTCCAATGTGTTATTCAAAAAATACAGTTTTAGAGTCACTAAAAATGGGGTAGCGTCTTATACCATGGGTAGGATTTTATCAAATTGTAAGCTGAAAAATTCAAGTGCGTTTCGTACTCAAAGGCGCGTGGTACAGGTACTCAAGTACAGTATATATAGTATATATCAAACTCTCATTTTCCAGTGTTAGGGATGAATTGATCATAGTGATAAATTTTGCAAACGTTTCCAGGGATGGCAAGTGCCTAGAAGAGTCCATTGCCCGAGCCTCAAAACCCGTTGATAACCCCTCGTACGGTATTTACGCAATTGCAAAATATTTTGGTTTCCACACTTTTCCCTTGCGAAGTGCGCATAAAAATGAGGATTCAGCAAGCCTTCGCGATTAAATGTCCCAATAAAATCTCACATTACCTAACATATGCAAAAACTGCATATTGAAACAGGGGATAACGCCAATATTTTTATCCTCTCAGGATCAACTGTTACTTTCTCGAAAACGTCTTATTTTACAATTTTCGGTGCAACATGTTGTGAAATTTTGGCGGTTTTTGCTAGTACTGTAGCAGTTATACCCGGGGCCAACTAACAGTTTGCGGCTTTTGTAATTTTCTTCCTTCGAGTACGTACCAAAACTCATCATACAAGGTAGTTGCGGCATATAATTGCGGAATAATTTTGCCACGGAGTTTCACTTACCGCCCCCGCATTGCTCTGAGCAATCGGAAAAGTTTCCGGTTACCCAGTGGTACGTGTCGCTGATTTCGGAAACTGTAGTCTCGGTGGGCAAGCTGTATTCGTACTGGATTCCGGGGTTGGCCTCTTGGTACAGGAGCTAAAGAAGATTAAAAATATATTTTGGCCCCTTCATTTGACTAGTGAGACACGCTTTACGAAATAAATTGTAACAAATTTACGGACCACAATGAAAACAGCTTCCGTTGTTGGCCCATTTGCGCGGATCGTTTCCGGGGAAAAGAATCCAGCAGGTGTCCGTTCGTAGTGAAACGTTGTACCAGCGCATCTGATGGCATTCGGAAAGTCGATTCTCCAGTTTCCGTTGAGATAATAATGTCCTGTTTGATTTCTGATAGCTGCGATGCGAACACTTCGTTAACAGTGGCCCGAAAATAACTTTATCGACAGGCAGAAAATTGTTTTACCGAGGTAATTCGAGGAATCCTTCTTCTCTTGCACTCTGATATTCGTGGCCCCGCTTGGGATGAGCAAAATGTCATTATAACCTAGCGAATGATTCGGGAATGAGTACAGTGTGTTCGGCGGTTTTTTTTTTTTTTTTTTCCCTCACCGACTTTCAAGTTCGTTGAATCGAAGCTGCCAGAGATAACTTTACATGTCGAACCATCGCCGTTGCATACCCTGCAATTGTCTTCTTTTGCGGATGAGCCAAGTAGTCCATCACATCCGACGGGCTATATTTTTTGCGAAAACAGCAAAGTAAGAACCGAGGAATCCGATGAATCCACATGAATACACATACCAGGCACTTTCCGTCCACGCAAACATTGGCACTTTCGTCGTCACACCTCGTGCCATCCGTAACTTTTTTGCTGTGGAGATAATAGAAGCGTTCGCCTTCCGGCATGCAATTTAGCTCGCACTTATTCGGGGCCTTGGTATAAGGGATCCATCTGTAGAGAAAATTACTCCGTCTCTTGTTTTGATTTAAAGTTGACGTTTTCGGAAGGTCTTACTTGAAAAGTCTTCCCTCGAACAGCACCGAATCGAATACGGAGCACTGGTGTGACCGGAAGTCCTCTGAACCTTCCGGGCATTCCTTAAGAGAAAAAAAAAGTCGCGTTTTAGTCAGAATCTTCATGAGGGAATCGGAAAGCGTGGGACTTCGTGGTTCCAATCCTGAAATCCCGCTTTTCCACACGATAAAATTGTGAACATAAGTATGGCATTAATACAGCCAAACGAGCAGTTCCCATGCGCTTCTTCCAAGGTCCGAACATTTTCTCGTCGGACACGGAATTCCGAAATTTTACTTCCACGGTAAAATGCCCGCGGAAGCTTTTCGAGCAAACAAAGGCGGTTTTTCGAGACACGGAAACTATGTCGATTTTTCAATGTAATTTTGAAGTACCGTAATTCGCAGGAGGGTACTTCAAAAGTTTTGGGATCTCCAAAAAAATCATAACTTGAGACAGATGAGATACATCAATTTCTCTTGGATTTCTCCCCTTTCAAAAGTGACTCCTCTATTTTAATATCCAGAATGATAACCTGATTAAAAAAACTATCGAAAACTGTGCCGAATGGATCTCTTTGTCAATGAGAGAGACAGTTTGGTTCCTTGATGCCCTTTTACTTTCGAAGAAACTTCATGACTGCAATAATTCTTCAAACACGGAAACTCGCTGAAAAATCTGTTGAGGAAAACATTGTATTTCTTTCCGAACATTCCCAACTTTGTTATTGTAGCGACTCTCTGATATATTTGGGCTGTTGTCGAGGAAGGGTTGTCCAGAATGCAGCAAAAGATAATTTGAAGTTGATTTTCGGAGACATATTTTTTCGATAGAAGTGATTATCATACAATATTTCAGGAGGCAAGGATATATGACATTCCAGATCGGACCCAGAGTTTTCATTCTCACCTGGGTGTTACACGATGAGACTCGCGCCGTGGGTCCGTCACATCCCGAAGTTCCATCAGGATTCCTGCAAGTGTGTGAAAATAATGAAGCCCAAGGCAAACCTCGATCCCTACAGCAACAACAACAAAAGAGTGTCCATCTTACGCCGGGCTAATGCAAGATCTGGTTTGCTGTGTGACACCGCCTCCACAAGACCTCGAGCACTCAGAAGGTTTGGACCACTCGGTGAATTCCCCCGAGTTTCCGTTACCACCCATGGTTATGTAAGGCTGAATCTCCGACCCACCAGTCGACGTCAATGCTGCTTGCTCGCACAATCCGTGTGGCAACTGTGGGTAATAACCGACACCATCACGATGACTCATCGATGGAGCACTTACGTAACTGTCCACATTCGTATAAAAGCATGATCCTCAAACATGCAGCATAACAATCATCAGCTGAATTCAATGAATTGCCCCCTGACTATGCAATCATTGAAATAGGAGTAATGGACGGTGCGCCTTGAATGCGTGAATGTAAGTATCCTCGAAGTGTGTTCATTCTTGTGATTTTTAATTAAAAAAATCCAGTAAAAATTGTTTCAAGTGCTTTTAACAGCATTTGACTACGCGTATATACTCATCGATGGTTATGGAAGCAAGAGCCTCAGGAAATTAGCTGGGATGATTGGAATTCTACTCAATTTAAACTATTTAATTGCGTTTGGTATCTTGAATTACGAAGTCCTTCCTGGTGCCAATATCGAATTCAGCGAAAACGGATGTTCACTTAGTCGGAAATGCTTCCCATATTTACTGAAGTATCGTCTATTTACAAGACGCACCTCGATATTTTGGGATCGTTGGCCGTACCTCTGGGAAATGCCGTTAATTTTAAATCAGAAGAATGTTAATTGCGCTCATGATCACGTTACAACCTGAATATCATCAAACTTTTACAAAATGTGTCAAGATTTTGAGTCTAGAATTGAAACTGTTAGCTCAGAGTTTTCAAATTTTAATTTTTAAATTGTTGAATAATTTTTTGGTCAGAAATAATCATGCACATCACCAGTGAATCCGGAACGCCATAAAATTCAAGCAGCTGTGACATATACGAGACGACATAGATTGTAAGATGCACCCTTATTTTCTCAAGCAGCATTTTTGGAAAAAAGGAAATCTTATTTTCTAATAAACAACGTTAAATACAATCCAACCCATAATTTTCTTATACAATCTAATGATTCCTTCAACTTGCGCAGGATGACATTTAATACTTGATATTAAGGGATACCTCAGCCTTTCAGAATACTGTATTGCACCGGATTTTGTCGACTAGGTTGCGCGATGTCGTATGTAAGATTTTCCTTGTTTTTTTTTAAATCAAAATTTTCTTTTGTTGTTTCGTCGCTTTTAAAAAATCCGATTGGCGTCAAATTTCCGCGTAAGTCAGCGTCAATTATCACACAACTTTGCATTTGCGCCGCGATTGAGTAATTTAACTTTCACTCAGAAGCATACGACAGAGTTCTATCTACGGATTGGGATTAACGCCCGTATTTTCCCCTGAGATCGCTAATTGTTTCTGCCGCGTGTGCCAATTGAATCACCGTCATGAATATTGTGAGTGCTGCGAAGAAGTGGATACTGCCCGGAGAAACGAATCCGCAACACGCGGGGTTTTGCGATACGAAGCTGAGCCTGGTCCCCATGCCGGCCGCCGACTTCCTGGAAGAAATACACACACACAAACGGATCAAGCTTAAAAATTAATCAGTGCGAATGGTGTCAACAGACACATTGCATAATGTAGAACGTTGACTACAGAGAGAACACCATTTTCTCAGAGACATCCTGACTGCTCTTTTGTAAGTGCCATGCAACCAATGACCGGAAGACGAGCTTAACAAAAAATCCAAATTCTTTCTGATAAACACGTTTCCGATAAACCTGCAGATTTATTTCAAAATGAAAGTTTTTCGGAAATATCTGAAGCAGAAATTCAAATAAAATTTATTGCCGACGAACAAGCAATCAAGCCGATTGGGAGTTGGCGACCGAAAAATAAACCATGAAGCCTTCACGTAGGCTCTCCAATCATTTATAAAAATGGTCCGGTGAGTGTCTTCCCCCGAATAATCAAATACTGTACTGTTTAGCGATACTTTTTGGTTGCGAATAAATGCTTTTAATGTCTGTGCATTTGCTGATGGCCTGACATAAAATTACCGACATTCTTGCGAATTTATAAGAGCACCATAAAAGACGTTCAGTCGAACACATGTAAGTATAGTACATTAAAATTGGTTAAGTTGAAATTGAGGTATATAGCGCTAACTTTCGCATTCGCTCAGTAAATCATAATTAGGGTATGGATAATGGAATGCATATGCAATCAAAGCCGAGATAACTGTGTCCACGATACATCATAGAACGAGAAATTTACTGGGTAGTTTAACCCTGCTTATTTATATTGAATTCTGCACGTCCCGACGGGATACTCGGGACTGCGATTAATATTTCTCTGTGAACTGAGGAATGTAAATCCGCGCTGGCGTAACGAATTGTTCCAAAATTATGCTCATGGAAGTGTATCAATCTCATGAAAGCGTCGTGTCAGCCAAAAGTAGTCAAGACTCAAGACCCCCTTTCCTTCTCGGTCGACCCGACCCCCGGGGGTCGGAACATACACCGGAAGCATTGAGAACAATCATGAGCGCGTGGACCGGGTGATAGCGACATCAACCGGAAGTGTCCTTCCTCCGGGCAAGCGGAAGAATCTTTTTGTTTTTACTTCTTTTTCGTCTTCAGGGGCTTCAAGTCAATGAACGTCTAGGCGATAGCGACAGTGTTTGTGTTGCCGAGTCAGCGTGACCCTTGATAACTTCACGGGCTCGATGCTTTGAATACATGCTGCAGCTGGTTTCGAAAGGCGATTAAGTTAAAAGAATAAAACTACGTCGAGCCAGTGAGAAAAATCATATTTTGCATGAATAATTTTTGTTGAACCTGAACCTGACCGGACAGACGGATATTCTATCTGCTGAAAGTGAACGGATATCAGAAAATTTGACAAAGAATTCTTCAAAGTTTGGCACACAACCGGAAGGTTCCATCAGGGGAAGGAAAACATGTTTTTCTGTGTTTCGAATCTCTTTCATACTATTTTACCACCTATATGAGTTTGATATGTTGACATGCAATGGAAAATAATAACGGAAATTTGAAATAATGTAGCTACTGTATATGCAATTCAACTTTCTTTCGAGGTTGTGGCCTTTCCAAACTAGAATGTCATGGATTCAATCTTTCAGGATCTGGCTTTCGCAAAAATATTTCATTACCTTCAAAAGTGTATGTTCATAGCATGAGTAAACATTTCAATAAAACCCACTTAAATTCGTCGATTTATGTGACCGTTGTTGAATTCACAAGCTATCTTCGTTGCGGACATAACATCCCAAAGATTGACGAAAAAATATTTCGGCCCTGAATTTTCATTTTCAGACTAAAAACTTTTAGGTCAGACGAGGATGTTATTCTATCGAAGTTATTTCTAACAACGTTATATTATAGCCGTAAATCAGATCCTCAGATCCCAGGTGAACGAATTGAACAATACATGAAAGCTCGAATTTCCTGTTACTTCCTGAAATGACGAACAAAATCCGTTTTTCTGAACGAAGAACAACATTTCATACGCTTAAATAAAAATCGTCAGCATATTTCTGCAATTCCTGTCACATGGCGACAACTCCTCATGAACAACATGTAAACATACACTTTAGAAACCGACCTGCGCGACGGTTTGAATATTAAACTCAATGTTCCAAAAATATCGCGTATTTTCATCAGTCAAATTCATCTTGCAAAAAAACCAAATCGTTTCGGCGACCGAATTTAAATACAGGTATTGTACTGAAGCGATCGCCAAGAAATCCTTTTTTCCAGAGGCAAAACGAGTTATGTAGTTTGAATTTAGATAAAGTAAGCAAATTCTGCGATTTTTGGATACAATTTTGCTCGACCAGCGAGTTGAACTTATAAAAAATCGCCTGAATACTCGATATTCAAAAAGTATTTCGCGCATTCACGCACGATGAAGCATCAGTCTCGAATGATATTTTCATTCTCATTACAGTATAAGTATACCGTATTTTAGAAACTACTGATTCGGAATAGAGAGAAAGCAATTTTAAGCTTACTGCCTCAAAACTCGGTAAGTGACGAACATTTTCGATTCATCCTCACGCTAGGCATTCGAAACCCATACCGAGGACTATCTTGTTGCATAAGGGTTTCTGTTTCATGTCCGCAGCTGGTGACGCGACGAGACTCAGCAGATGGCAATAACCTGACCGGGCTGTCGAAAAATGACTTACAGTCTCCCTCAGTACGTCTATGTTCGAGTTTTCAAGCATTCTCAGCATTTTACCCCGAATCCCAAATCCCAGGAAACCTTGAGCGTGGTTAAACGAATCTCGAGGTTGTAGAGGTGAATGTTCCACTCGACTCTACAAAGGGTCTGATACCAGGAAAAACGGTAAATTTATATCAATGTTTTTCTTGACTGCAATTCTAGGAGGCATTTTTTCTTGGACTTCAAAAGCAAGACGTGTTTGAATTTCCCTCGACGAAATCTCACTACGATTTCATTGAATGGACCCAAGGGTTGTTTCATGTAGATTACCGATTCTTCTTGGAGATCCGAACCACTTTCAGCATAGGGATCATAGCCTAGGTCGGTTATGCGCACCAGAATTCAATCTTCTTTGAACCTTTAGGGCATTCTCGAATGCTCTATCCTTTTGAAATTCAAGCGAGTTATTTACTTTTTCCTCTCAGTTGCAGACTGCGCCTCAAAAGAAATTCCGGCGAAAATAATTTGATTAGGAAGTTCTGAGATTCTGAGAAATCATACGGAGGTTGGTTGACGCGTTTTGATAATACTGCCTTTCACGAAACAATAATTAAATTGGTGCTCAAGGCGAAGGTTATTATGCAGTACTAATATGTGGAGAAAAACTTCATGAAGTCCTTCAGTCTATGCTTCAGTTGAATAAACTCCTTAGCAAATAAGAAGAGGATTCCGTTGAGTCTCGTTATTCATTTGCAGCGGTTCGGAGGATTCTGACAGAAACTTGGCCACCCGAAAATTTCAAGGAAATTTTAAAAACGCTTAAGCCATCGCTTGCATTCCTTCATTTGATGTCATACCCAAACACGAGTGCTGATCGAGTAGAGTACAGTACTGTATTCCTATTTTAGCATGAATGGAAAGATTGGCCGGTGAATTAAAAAAATGGTGAAAATGTTCAGAAACGCCCTGATCGAGGTCAACTATCACAAGGCATTTAAACCGGTTTCGTACTCATACACTG